TGTTGTGAAAGTGTGGCGATCATAGATCACGTTATAGGGGGTATAAGTTGTACGAATTTCGTGCTATTGAGATACAAAAATTAATTGGTGTTCGTTCTATTTTAGGTTGAGACTTGTTATGGTAAGTAAAAACGGATGGTATCGTTCCACAGACGTCCATGTCACCTGATCTGGAAGCCCGCCAGGAAAAAAGAATTATTTCGGTGACGAAAAAAGGTATACACGTTTCCCAGTTTGCCGTTGTTCTTTAAGTTACTAACTCGAAAATGAGTGAAACTATTTACGATTATGACAATGATTCAAATTTACAAAGAAACAATAATCATTTGTTAAAAAAGAAATACTTTATTATGATAATCAAAATATATTATGTAATATTACAAATATAGTCTGTCCAAAAGATATTATAAAAAAAATAATCAAAAAAAATAGTCTTCTTCTTCATCTATTACTTCTTCTTCATAGTGTTTAACACCAAATTTAATTATACCTAAATTTTCGTATTTTTTAATTATCAACATATTTTCTTCATTTAATAAACTACTACGACCACCATAACTTTCAATAATTATTATACAAAGTAATTTTTTAGATGTTCTATTTTTCCAATTTATAATAAATGATTCTAAATCTTCTGGAGATACAGAACCTGAATTTGGATATGAAATATTATATAATTTTAATTCACAAAAATTATTTGATGAATGACTTGCAACAGTTTCTAATACTTCCTTTTCAAATAAAAATCTTCTCCCACATTGAATTTTAATACTTTCTAAATATTGACAATTAATAAATATATCTTTTAATATATCAATTTCACCATCATGAAATAATACAAAAAGATTTTTAAGGTTTGGACAAAAATTAGCAATTGATATACTTAAAGTTTTATCATTTTCACCAGAATAAAATTTTTTAAGATTTTTACCATTAATTTCTAAAAATTTTTTCATATAATCAGGTTTTGGACATTGATATGGAATCTTTAAATTTTGTAATTTAGAAAAATTAATAAATTGTAATTTTTTAAAATCTTCAATATATCCATAATCTAAGAAAGAAATTATAATTTCTTGTAAATTTGTGAATAAACTAACAAAAGATAATGGTAAATCATAATATTCACTATAAAGATGTAATTTTGTTACAGTATTAGAATGCTTTTTTAAAGCAGGTATAATATTTACCCAACTTACTGCAAAAGCTATTAAAGTTAAATTTTTTAAATTATCTTGTAAAGAAATCAATTCTTTTAACTCATTTAATTCATTTGAAACTTCATTATGAAAATCTATAGAAATTGATTGTAAATTATGACATATTTGTGACAATTGCCAAAAAAAATTAGAAGGAAGATTTGAACTGCAGCATAATTCTGAAAGATCTCTCACCCCAGGAAAATAAGTTAAAGTAAAATTACTATAAAATCGACTATAATAAGATAATTTTTTTAAAGAAGAAATTTGATCCACAAACATTTTGATAATTTCATCAATAACTAGACGACTTCTATCTGATGGTTCTTTTTTAAGAACATTATGAACTATTCCAGAGAGAGAACCTATTGAAAGAACTTTGCAAAATTCTGCGTAATTAAAAAGTGGTGATTTTAAATTAGGTGATAAAATAAAAATTTCATTTTTGTATAATTTCTCTTTTGATTCATTAGGAAGACAAGCAATTAATGTACTAAGAATTGATGTTGTCACTCTCAATGAACGTTGTTGATAATTATAACCCCAAACATCCTTCCACAACATTCTAACGGAAATTTTACACCAAAGACGATTAACTAATAAACATGAATGTAAAGTGGAAATATTATTCTCTAAATGTTCAATAATTTCTTGTAAGCACTCGGTTGGAAGATCTGAAAGTTGACAAGTCATTTTTTTTTTTATTTTCTAAAGAAAATAAAGAAAAAGTTTTTGGTGGGGACAATAAACGCCATTGTGTAATATACGTAATTTTATGCATATTTGTGTAATATTGCACATGCTAAAAGAAATTCTTTATTAGAAATTTAAATCATGTGATGTTAATTGACATATGATCTGCAATTCTGACCGGAATTATTCTTATTTTGACTCCAAATATTGGTTAATAGTCAAAATCCTTGATATTAAAAAAAAAACATGGTGACTACTAACTAAATAATCATATTTTGATTCATAATATTGATAAACAAACACTTTTTCACACAGAAAAAGGATATTAACAATTTTATAAAATGGTATTATTTTCACATAAAAATTTTCTTTATTTGGAAATTCTTGATTTTATGCACCAAAAATCTTTAAATGGTAAAAGAATTAACTTTAGAAGTATTATTAAACATTTTAATCTTTCAACAGTGAACTTGGAAAAATAAGTATTTTTTTTTTATAAATCATTGATATTATTGCGCTGTTTATTGAATAATGTTTTTTATATTATCCTCAAAGTTCCAAAATTTTAAATAAATACCATTTTGGGTTTATCAATTAATAGAATGTACTTTTTAGGGTTCTGCTGTTCGTATTTAAATTCTAATAAATTCAACATTTCACTTTAATTTAATTGACAAAAAACGGAGAATCAATTTTTATTAAGAATATATATAATATATATGAATCTGGAGCCAACGAAATCCTTCTTTCAAAAGTTCTTAAAAGAATAATCGTAATGAAGTTTTCTTTATACAAAGTTTGCTAACTCTCAAAAATCAAATGAACTTTTTAAACAGGTCTAACGTAAGATTCAAGAATTACTGAAGGAAGATGTTCTACTACTAGTTAAATTCTTTTTTTAGAATTTCAAGAAATTCGAATTTCCAGAATGTATTGTCACTTATTTTTAGTAATACTCATTAAAATATTATCATAAAAAGTTTAATTATAGATTTTTAAGAAAACTCTTTAATTTCTTAAAACCTCTTAAGACTTTTTAGAACCGCATAACTGTGACGCAATTTATGTTACTTTCTTTTATATGTAAGTAATAATTTACATCTTAAAGTACCTATGATATAACTTTATGAGAGAAAGCATGTTCTGTATATATTTTTATAGCAAGCATACTTTTCTGGTAGAATAATTTAATGCTAAATTTAATACGAAATTAATAATCGATTAATTCAATCTTTAAATATTATTAATTAGGTCGTTTTGCTTTTACTTTTTTTTAACGTACATATGACATCATTTAAATAATTATTGTAATTTCTCATAAATATTTTGTTTAATGATATTCGGATAAAAAAAATACATTACCATTAAAAATACTCATATCGAAAAATTTTTTAAATCAGATATTCATTCAAATATTGCACAAATCCAATACAGTTGAAGAAAGAATGATATTTTATAATTGGTTTAATTCCACATGTTAATTGTTTATATTCAGAGTCCGTTTGGATTATAAGATTATATCCGTATATTCTATCAAACATAAGATAATTATATACACACTACCACTATTTTTAGATATTCTTTTAACATAATGAGTATACAATTTTCATGTCAAAGTTCAAAATTATATTTGAATTACATTAAAATTACTAATCAACTTAATTAACAAGCTTAACAGGTTAATAACGATGTTTTTGCATAATATAAAGTTTAAACACTAATAGTATCTATATAACTATATTATGTAAATTCAGAATTTTTTACATCATATCACATGATGAATTAAATAATATAAAGGGGACAAAAATTGATCACGCAAATTTTATTGAATGATAGGCTATCATGCCAAAATCTACCTTAATTGAAGATCATTTCTTCAACCTGTACTTCAAATATTGTTTTAAAATTATTTATTATCTGGATATTTTATTAAATTAATTTTCATTCGGGTAATATAATCAATTGCTGCATCTTTATATTATAAATGTTTTTTTGGCTAACTATAAACATTTACATTATTGAATACATAATACTGGCGTTAATGTCCCTGTAAAAAAAAAATGTCCGGAAATTGTAGCTAAAAACATCCGGAAAATGTCCGTGTGTCCGGAAAACGTCCAGAAAATTGCAATATTCCGGACACTTTCTGGACGCTGGGTCTGAACCCTCCTAGACATTTACTGGACATTTTCCGGAAAATGGAAATTTTCCAACGTCCGGAATATTGCAATATTCCGGACATATTCCAGACAAATAAACATTTTCCGGACGTTTTCAGCTACAATTTCCGGACATTCTTTTTTTATAGGGTGTGTATTATAAAAAATATATACTGTATGTATATTATTTAAAATATAATACACGGATTACATTGATTTCACAATGGTAACAAAAATCTTTATAATAATTATATAAATATTGAAGTGGCTACTCAAAATTTGTATCTTAACAGTTAATAGAAGAGTTGAAACGTTTCAGTCACTTTTGTGACATCATATCTTTAAGAAATATCTTGTTCTGAAACTCAAACAAACAACTCAAGCTTATTCATCAATTTGTAGGAAAGGAATAATATGTAGAATATTTGGTTGATGAATAAAATGAAAAATTTAAATAAAGAAAATACGGTAGAATTAATTATTTCGTTAAATGTTAATCTTGGTCGCATTCATTTCACAGAACAATCATTTTACCGACGATTATCTCACCGACTGACATTTCACTAACAGGGTCATTTCGCAGACAAATGTTTCACCGACAATCATCGACAAGGGAATTTAGGGTTAAAGTTAGGGTTAGGTAAGAAAATCAGGGTTGGGATTAGGCTAGAATTAGGTTAGGGTAAGTGGATTAGGATTTCAAAACTGTCGGTGAAATGACTGTCAGTATAATGATTATCAGTGAAACATATGTCGGCGAGATAATTGTCAGTGAAATGATAGTCGGTGAAATGAGCCTTAATATTAGTAATAGCCAAATATTTAACCCTTTCCTTCTTCATAATATATTTCTTTATACAAAATAAAATATTCCCATTTTTATCTACCATAATATTTCTAATTAATAATTTCTTAATAAAAGTATTTTGTGAATTTTTTAAAAATATTTTCAGATCACTTGTCCTATATAAAAGGGATAAACATAAATATTCTAATTTAGAAGGAAAGAACCTGTCCTATATTTTGTAATACAGTTAAACTTAATTCCCTATAATCAGTATAGCTTATAAATACTTGCTTCAATAGTAAGATAATTAATATTATGTTGATTATTTTCAATGAATAAATAAATATTATTATCATCAGGTATTCCCGATTCAAAATATCTAATCTTATTACAATATTTCGTAATAAATTCAAAAAATTGTTGTTTTGGTTCATCATAGTAATCATTAAACATCGTATATCCAAATCCAAAATTTTTTAAACAATCACTAAATTTCTGTAATAGCAATTGTATTGGTTCAAAATGTAATATTTCATCCATAAACAAAGATCTCAATTTAAAAGGTTTATTAACCTTAATAATTTATTTGACAAAATCAGAATTTAAAGAATAACAATAAAAAATATGAATAGATTCTAAAACATTCAATTGATCAAAAACTTCTTGTAAAATACTAATTATATTCTTAAAAATCAATAGAATGAAATATAATTGTATTTAAAGTATTTGAACAATTAGAATTTTTTAATGATAAAAATGGATTATATAAATTAATATCATATTCAAATGCAATTTTTCTGAGATTATGTTGTGAAATAATCATTTGTATTAACCATTTTTCAATTAGTAATGAACGATAATCAATATCATATATAGGAATTCCTAAAACCATTGTGAGATTGAATTGCAATTAGAACATAAAATTTTCAATAACTTAATCATATTTTGAGTATTATAATTAAAAATACGGAATGTTAAATTGCTAATATTATATGTAAGATTTGGATTTTGTAAAATCAAGTCTATACTATTATCAAAATAATTATCATAATAAGTAGACAGTACAACTTCAAAAGAATGTAAATCTCCTTCATTTTCAATAAACATTTCAAGCAATGACCTATAAATAAAGTTTACTAGCTTCTCTTGATTTTTACCCACTACAGTATCAACCCACGTTTGAACAGAACTTAAAATTTTATCTATATTTAACTGTTAAGTATTTAATAAAACTAGGGTAATTGAATAATAACGTATTTGAAGATATTAAATTATTATTAACCCCATATTTATATAATTTTGTTTTGACATCTTCATTTAATTTTGCTTAAGTAAATTTCAATAAATTGTTGATTTTCGAGATATTCCCTTGAAAATGGATCTTTCTTTGGAAATGGATCTTCCCATAATAATGGAATGGCTAAACGACACCATAATCTATTAATTAAAATGCAAATATATAAATACATAAATATAATAGTTTAATATTATTAATTATATTAAAAAAAAATAAATCATCAAAAATAATGAAATTTTAAAATTCCTCCAGAAATTTTCAGTGATTAAAAAAGATTTACTCATATTTTCTTTTTATAATACAAGAACGAAAATATGTTGTAGATTTTTAGAAAATGGAATCAATCAAAAGTTCAAATTTTTTTTTCGTTACATTCATTTGTTAAATCTTGGCTAATTGTTTATGTAAAAAATAAATGTAATGTGATTTAACATTACCTTAATATCTGAATATTTATTGCAAATCAAGAAAGTTTGATCTATTAAATTTAGTAAATTTTATGTGCTAAATTTTAATTATGATATATATTACACGTGACGACGTGACGTTGTGGATACTGCGTTCAAGCCCGTGATAAATCACATTGCCACCTTGACGTTAACAAAAATAATAGTTTTATTAATAATAAAAATTTCAACAAAATAATATAATGCTTGATTTAATAATATTTCCTAATTAGATAATTTCTAAAATATAATCACAATTCTTGGTAAATTTTAATAATAGATCCCTTTTTCACAAAGTCCAAATTTACATAATTTCTGTCTATCATTATTTTTCTTCAAAATATTTCCTAATTTCGTAAAATTATTTTTTTTTCAATTTTGATTTTTCCACTTTTTGATTGAACCACTTTTTTCGTCAATTTCCCACTTTTCATAAACATTAACTTTTCAAAATTTCCAATTTTCGATCTTCAAACCCATTTCTTATTTTAGTAATATCCCGAACTTAGTAATTCCCAATCCCAAACCTAAAAACAAAAGTCAAGAATAGTTTTACACTTTTACTTCGTTACGGATGTTACATTTGTAACATTACACAATTATGATACTTAATATTTTATACACTAACTAAAAATAATACTGCGCCTCACACTTAATAATTTCACTAGGTAAATCACGGCATTACAGTATTCACTTAAATTACCTAATAATTGTTTTTTCTTTCCATGTCAGATATTTTTCATTGGTCATTGTTGCAATTCTAGTACTTTCCAACTTTAAACCCTTCGCTCAGCTGATATGTTTTTCTTTTTTTTTCTTTTTTTGTTTTTTATATTTTATTTCTTGCTAACTTATTTTATTCTCTTTAAGTTCTTACTCCTTTCAGCCCTTTGCTCTTTGCAATCAAGGTATGTTTAGTATTACATAATCACGATTTTTTGAAGTTTTTATTTTTTTATTTTGTCGTTTCTTATATTTCCTTACATTTTCTTCCTAGTTCTTCTTGGTATGTTCTTTTTTTTATTTTTTTTATTTTGTCTATCATATTTCGTTTCTTACTAACTTATTTTATGGTTTTTATTTGGTCGGTTGGTTTCCTTCATTTTTTTATTCCCTACTATTTTTTTATCTTTTGTTTCCATTGTTACTTTTATTTCCTTAATTTTTCATTTCTTTTTCACTCCACTTCATTTTTTTTCGTTCCTTTTCGCTCGTCCCTCGTTTCTTTCACTCCTTTTCACTCCCCGTGTTTTACAATAATTCTTGAAGTCTTGTTTCGTTGGACCATGATCGAGTTTCTACTGTTTCTAGACTTTTGTTCGTTCCTTCCAAAAATAAGTTTTGATATCGCGTATGCAAATGATTAGAAATTGACAGAGAAGTTGGTGAATTTTTTTCTGTGTCTTTAAGTGGGCTGAAAATATGCTATAAAGGCCTTCATTTTCTTTTGTTCCTTTTTATCCCCTTCGTTTTTTTCATCCCTTTTTCACCTCTCTTTTGCTTCTTTCGTTTTTTTTTACTCCACTTTTGTTTTTTTCATTACTTTTTATTCCTCTTCGTTTATTTTGTTCTTCCCTTCACCTCTTTTGTTGTTCTTCATTCATTATTCTTTCATTATATTTTGTTACTTACTATTCTTTTTATTATTGCACATTCTCTTCGTTTTATTTTCATTATTTCTGTTATTTCCATGAATAAATAAATAAAAATTTGTTAATAATTATATTTTTAATCAATAAAACGTATCTTTAATTAATAAATTATTATTAATATCATTATAAACGTGTAACTTTTAGTATTTAGTTTGCAAATAAAAATTTCATTACATTAAGTTACTTTAAATAATTTCGTTAAAAAATTACAATAGGAAAAAAAAATTTCGGTGAAAATCACCGCTCACCACCGGTGAGATTTAGCAATACTCTTTAAATTATATAGTAATTTTTACATTGAAAGTTAGCTGATAATTGTTAATATAAAATAGCATTAGAATTTTTTACTAAATTAGACTTAATTCTTATAATGATGGTGTAGTTAGCCGCCGTAACGTGATCCGGACACGGTAGATCGTCATGGAATTCCAGGGGATTTTCTGCGATTAAACCGGGTCCAGATGATCGGCAATCAGCAATCAGGAATTCGGCTCTGTTTATAAATTTCATTCACAAAAATTAATAAATATACTTAAATAATTTTTTTTTTATTGATAATTTTTTTTACAAACCTAATGCATTTTTAATAATAAATAATTATCTAATTTCTTTTTTTTTTTTTATTAAAGGACATAATTATCCAAGATCTTTTTTTTTTGACAGTTATGAATTGAATTTTTTTTTGAAGATTTATTAATGGCTTAGTACATTATATGATTGAAACCTAAAATCTTTTCAGTTATAGAGTATTTATATTAATTATATTATTTGTTATTGTTATAGATACCCGTCAAAAAATGCAAGATAAATTTAATAAATTAATTTCATTTCAAAACTTCTAATCATTATAAAATTTACTATTCATTAATATTTAAAGCTCCCTGACATGTTTAATGTTTACTTATTTACACATAAAATTAGATTCACATGAAATCTATATTGGATTTTTAAAACTATAACCAATATAGATTTTTTCGGTTACAGTACATTTCGCCAAAACCATTTCGCCGATAAACATTGATAGTAAAGTACTATTATTTCTGAAGCAAGAGAAATAACGAAAGAATTAGAAACTGACAATATGTCGTATCAAATTAGAAATCACTAGGATCCATATTCGCTTTCAGATTTTCCTATCTGGTCGAGAGTTTACAATAGTTATTATCATATGATATGACATAGTATTTGTGAAGAAGAAATAATATAATTTTTGAAAACGGTCAAAAAAAAGCATCGCATGTTTGATCATCAATAATAAAGGAATTTTTTTACTTTTATTTTATTAATATATAAAAATTTTATAAACTCGTTATTAGTATGGCGCATTACTGTATCATTTTACATTTTCATTTCAGCAATGCATTACTTTTGACCGTCACTGTATACACGAGTCAAGAAAGTAAATCGTATAAGTTCAAGAATGCAATATTTGCATGATAGAAATATTTATTAATTAAAAAAAATTATAGATTAATTAGATTAATTTCAAAAAAAATTATAATAGATTAATTTCTTCACAGCGAAAAAGTAAAATAACTAATACATTCACTAATAAATAATCTAACTCAAGAAGAGCATACTCCAGCAATGGTATCACAATAAAGACCCGGAGAACAATCATTATCATTAACACATTCGTCTCCAACACCACAATCTCCAAGGCCGAAACCAGGTGTGCAACGTTTCATGAGAAGACTAGATCTAACTACAAATGGAAATGTTAAATGCATGAGAAAATAGAAAGATAAAAAATTATAAATAAAAATAATTAATTTCTTACCCTCATGGAGAGGCGATGCATGAACTGTCAGACCATGGATGGTACAAATAAGAACGATAAACAAGAAAATATATTTCATTGCAAAATATTGTTAGAGTTTGAGAATTTTTCTTTTTTTGTTCTGTAATATTTTTTTTGTTCTTAATATTTTTTTTGTTCTTAATATTTTTTTTGTTCTTAATATTTTTTTTGTTCTGTAATATTTTTTTGTTCTGTGTTTTTTCAATCAGTCCCTGTATATATAAGAAAAAGCAGAATATGATGATTCCGAAGACTATCATTTACAGAAATAAAATGAAAATTTTTTATAAGGAGAAAGCCAATTTAAAAAGTAATTACAGTATTAATTATTATAAACAAAGATTAACTAATTTTTTCTCCATTTTACAAATGATCAATTACATGTGATATTTCGCAACGTATTTCAGATTTCAAAATTATTGCGAATCTGTAGATAAGGAGGAGAAAGTCAGTTTAAAAAGTAA